AGTTCCAAGACGTGATAAATTGCTGAGTTGATTCAAGTATAACGGATACCTGTAGGACTTAGAGAAAATCCTAAGGTTGGAAACTCCGTGTAGAATCAACTGCCGCAGCCTTTCAACTTAGACGTTAAGATAAACGAAAACGAACCCGATGACATCATGAAATATCAGAAATGTAGTGCTCCTGTATCTGTAATCTATTTAGAAAAATACTTGAAGAAAACCCAAGAATTCTTTCTAAGAATAGATATATTTCAATATATGGAAATTTATATAAACATGATAAAGTCTATGGTCTTCCATCAAATTACACATATTATAGTGTATGTAACTCCTTAGTTTTTATACCTAAAAATGGTTTTAGTAGAGCTAATTATTATCAAGATAGTTACTTGAAAAGATGTATTTCTGGAAATACTATTTTGAATAAACATGCAAAAAGAAAAAAAATTCTTAAATTTATTAATAGAAGGAAATTTTATATCTGGCAATATAAACAATTCATATTACAAGAAAGACTAAAATTAATCACCTTCATCTAGAATTTTTCTCTTAATCTAATTCATACTCAGAAAAGGATAAGTTAGCATTGGTATCTTATGATCATAATAAAAATTTTACAGCTAGTTATAAAAATTATATACAATCTAAAGTAACTGTAGCAAAAAATACTATGCTAATTGCTCCAAATTTTAAGCCAGCTTGTATTTCACCTGCCAGACAAGAAATAATTTTATTAACTTCTTATTAATCATCAAATTGAAAAAGTAATACAAGTGAAATATTTATCTCGTCTCAGTATGCAAAACAAAATAACTTATTATCATCTATAAACTATCTTAATCAGCCTATAATAAAATTGAAAGATGTGACAAAAATCATGTTCATTTAACTAACTTATTCTGAAAAATATATTAATTATAAATTATTGCTTTCAATCAAAAATTAATATCACTTAGCCAAAAATGCAATGTATAATATTCTTTATTTTTTGCGTTATATAATTTGCATGCATAATCATTTGGTAAAATTGTGAAATGTATTACCTGCTGGATAAAAAATGTGATCTGTATATTCTGGGTTAGATCCTTCAATATACTGTATAACTATTTTAATAAAGTATTTTTTGAGGAAGATTAATAAAGCGATCTTGAGGATTTTTGATTGTGAGATAATATAACTATTAGTTTGAGAATTTCTATGTAACAGTTATTTAGTGAGCCTATAGGAATTACAAAAAGAGGCCTGAGTCATTGGCAAAACAGGTTTGGAAGGTGGTAAGAATGATGGTATTTCTGATGATGTGAAATTTTTAGGTATAAAAAATGAATCAGAACAATCAGAATATATTTGTTATGGGGATGAGAGACGTTATTATCCAATAAGAAATAATTAGATGTATAAGAAAAAAGTCTAATTATGATAATGATCATCTTTTATAATATTCATACTTGTTAAGAAATTATTATATTAGCAAGGCTATATAGTTATTAGAAGTATATATTGGCTTAACATGTTAAAATAGCTACAGAATCCTAGATATTATAGTATTTATAAAAAGTATAATTTTGTATATTTTATCAGAATTTCAGAATATGAGACATATAAGATTAAATTATCAGAAATAAAACCTATATGTGATTCACTGTTAAAATATATATATCATATTTACAGAAAGGATATTATCGTGAATTTTATAGACTTAGATGATAATTATGAGTTTGTGTACTGAATTTTTTATATTAGACCTTAACTTAAATTCTGAATATTGTATTAATAAAATAATATATTATTTAGCCATGTGAAATACTTTAAAACTAATGTATATAAGCATGTACAAAATAAATTAGCATATTTTTAATCCTCATTAAAGTGTATATAATGTAATAGTGATACTTTACAAATCATCTGTGAAAATATACTTATATGATAAAATAATTTTACATATAAATCAATCTCCCAAAATATTTCAAATTTTTTTTTTACAATATTTAACGAAATAAGATTTAGCAGAATAACATTTACTGATATGAATATTTGCTCTAAAGGGACAGGCTCCCTGATACTACTAATTTCAAATAAATATATTTATATAATGTTGCTTGGATCTTAATATTAACTATTGAGCAGTCAAGTAAGCGAAAAAAGTCTGTATATGCATTATTCTAATGCCTTTTATAAATGTTGAAATCTTTAATGCACATTCTGCATATTTTTACTAACAAACATAAAATTTTAGTGCAAAATGCCTTGCATATTTTTTCTTATCTCTTCTTCAACATAAATATGAGTTTAAAAGGTATAAATGTGAGAAAATAGTGGCATTTAAAAAGACAGTATAGATAATTTTTAGTTTTTTATCATTTATTTTGCTGTTAACATTATCTCAGTATATTAGTATTATTTTATATTTTAAACCAACTATATAAATATGTCTATTATAATATATAATAAGATTTATGAATTCTTGATAACTGCTGAGAAATGTCAAATAAACATTATGTCTGTTATTTATTTTGAAATAAAAGAAAACTGCTAGGTTTCTCAAACTGAATTATTAAATGGAAACTTAATTTTATGTAAAATGTTTCTATTTTTTCTGCAATATCAGCCTCTCTATGTATTAGTATTATTTTATCTGAAGAAAGATTTATAAGCTATGATGAGACTGGGATATAATGAGGTGAAATTTAATTCCGTTACAGGACTTCTTGTTTTAATCCCCCTTTTAGGTAGAAAAACATAGACGTCAGGATATTTCTCTTTTTCTAAATCTTCAAAAACCCTTATACTAAATACCATATCTTGTTTAATGGTATATGTATTGAGAAGGTTTCATACCTTAATTTTATTTGTGCAATAATATAAGTTAAACAAAGATATATGAGAGATAAAAGCAATTTCTCTATAATCATTAATTATACTTAGCTTTACTATAAGCTTTTAGTAACATAATGTATCTATAATACAATAATTAGCTACTTCATACATTTTTCTTACAGTTGATGAAAAAGAGTTTTTTTCGCCTCTGAATAAATTCTTTACATTTCATTATATGAGTCTGTTTTAGCATCAAGATTACACTTTTTTAAAAAGAATTTGAGTGAAACTTTCTTTTCTACTTCAGCCTTAGGAAAATGTTTTATGAGACATACTCAAATATCAATTGATATGCATCCTGGCAGTTTAATAAAACTAGAATAAAAATCATCTTCTACAGTAATTTTAATTTTAATTGAACCTTCTAATATTCTTTCTCTTCCTCTATTTCTTCATCCAATCCCCATATGGTCTCTTCTTCATTAGAATTTCTTTCTTACCTTTCTTATTGAAATCATTTTCAGATTTTGCTCTTATCTTTCCACAATATTTTCATTTTATAATTTTTTTCTTTGTTTCAAATTTTCTTGTCATTTGCTTTCACATCCATTTAAATATGTTGAGATGATATGCTCTTTTCATAATTAAATGCCAATCATAGTCAGAATCATTAAATCCAACTTAGATATCAGATGTAAATACTCGCCAGTAGAGGGCAAATGCTTTCAGCAGATTTTTTTGGTATTCATATATGATTGTGATCTAACATGAGTCTGATTTTGTCACAACATCGACAAGATATATTTACGTTAGTAGCTTTGGATCATTTTTCTAATGCAATATTATGCAAATTATAAAAATATTATGATTCAGATCAAGAACTTCAGCAAATTCATCTAACTCTTATGATTGCATCTCTATATTCTATGTGAGGATAAGAGTATAATTCTATAAGAGAGCTGAAATAGGAAATTGATCACTTATTATTTTAAAATTTCTCTAGCGAACAGAAATCTTTTATAGATATATAGAATTTGTGTAAACAAAGTAGACTAGTCTACTTACTTTTCTTGCGTATATATTTGTTTAATGTAGATCATCTAGAGAGTTGAATTTTATTTTCTCAAGTCACCTTTCAGTAGAATAAGTAGAGTTCCGAAAATGACTCGCATAAACTCGCATATTTGACTCACATGATTGTGCATAATTATAAATTTTAGTTACATATAATAAATAAGTACTTTAAATTAAAGGTATGTAGGATAATTTGACTTGAAACTCAACTCGACTTGACTCATTAGGAACATTAGGAATAAGTATAAATCATCTGAAGTAGTTTCAAAATTATTTTCTTAGATAGTTTGAATGGTTTTCTTTCTTCTTCCAGTACCATTTGTATAAATTCGTAAATATATTTTTTTTCTATATAGTATTCATGAAAAGGAAATACTTTAATGTGCTCTATTTTATATGATTTTACAATGCTAGAGAGAACTTTGCTCACTTTTTCTTTGCATTTATCTAGAGTCTCTCTGTCTAGTATGAGAATATCAAAGAAAACCTAAATTCTTATAAGAGTTACTAGTATCTTTTAGCCATTAATAAGGTGATCATAAAGATGTAATATATAGTGGTATATTCTTTTTATCTTTTCTGATGATCCTTTACTATTAATAGTCATAAATGAAATTTTTTGGCAACTAGATAGAGTATCATTAAGAATTGCAGTTAATCTCTTATCATTTTCTGCAACTATATCATCTAGAGTTGAGATACTCAACAAGTATTTTTCACCAGAATAGCAAATTATTTAGCCTTTCATTTATCTTTTTCATTTAGAGACTAAAAAAGGATAAGCGCATCGAGAAATTCTGAAAGTTCTAAATATTCAATCATTTTTAGATAACTTTTAAAAAGTGTACTATATCCTAAACTTGTAATATACTATCTTAGAAATAAGTTTAAATAAAAAATATTATAAAAATTTAGTTATTAAGATGTTTCGCAAGAGATACCAAATGAGAGGTGAATTTATCTACCAATATCTTTCTAACGAAGGGAATGTATATGAACAGGTTGTGATCAGTAAGAAGAATGCAAAATCTATTGGAAAAGATATCAGTGAAATCCTTACAAAGCAGTGTGAACCTATCACGTTAAAGTACAGAATATATAATTTACATATAAATAAGTATCATTTGAAAACATATTATCATAAGAAGAAGCTAAATGCTTTAGAAATTTTGCCTTAGAAAATTTTTGACTTTCAGAGGCAGAAACGAAATAGCAAATTAATTTATTAAGATTCTATAATAGTTTCTTAAATGGTCTATTCTAGATGTCTTAGATGATCTAAAAAAAATCAGACTTCTTTACTTTTTATTTTTTTTTTATCTATAGGTATAATAAAAATATAGTATATATATAGTATATATATACTGAAAAGATATTATAGAAAAAAATTCATTTTTTTTTTCTAGAACTTTATTTTACTAGGACATCTAAGGCATTTAGAAAAGGTAATATAGAATAAGATAAAATAAAAAAAAATACTTTTTCCTATAACAAACTCTGCTCTAGAAAGTGATCCAGTAAATTTTCTATTCTAAAAGACTTAAAAATAGCATATATATATCACACAAATAGTATATATATGTATCATAAGATAAGTTTCAAATTTATTTTCTAGAATATTATTTTACTAAGAACATTAGTGATATAAGAAAAAAAGCTTGTGACAGAACTAGTGAAAGAACTAGTAATACAGACAATAGGCTCTCTAGGAATTCTAGGCTAAAAGAAAGTTTTCTTGATAAGTGTTACTAATGTTACTACTGTTACTGAAAAAATTTGAGTTTCTTAACTTTTTTTTTTATTTTTTTAGTATACATACATCACACATATATCATAAATTCATCATATTATATTCCATATAAACTATAGAGATAATATAGAAAATTTTTGATTTTTTTTTCTAAAAATTACTACTTTTTACTAGTAACACTAGTGACACTAATCAAGAAAGAAATAAAATAGCCTAATAATTTCAGGAAAGATAACAAATATATTACTAGTTTTATCATCAGTTAGTATTCAGAATTAGTAATATTAGTGATACTAATCAAAAAAGAAATAAAATAGTCTAATGCACAATTTTTTATATTTTGCATTTCAAATTCTCTGATCTGTGAGTCAGTAAAAGTTACATAACTGGCACAATAAGATGTAGTATAAAATCGACCAATATTATTTCACAATTTTAACCAGCATATAAATTTGACCAGATCTTTAAACATAATAATTCAACATCTAAATTAGTATACAAGTAGTCTGAAATTAGCAAATTAATAGAATCTCTCTAGCTTCCCATCAGTTCTCTAATAGTTCTATGATAGTTTTATAATACTACCACAGTACTATTAAGTCACCATTATAGTGTCAAGCTGGATTCTCAAATCACATATCCAAAAAATCAACCATAATTATAGTATAGTACTGGCTGAAATTAATTGCAAATTTACTGCATTATCTGACACAATATTTTTTTACTACAATTTGATATTTAATATACAATTAAACAAGTATAAAAGGTAAGCACCTTAATATAGAATCTAATACCTAATCAGATGTAGGAAACCAGTACCTTTATTATAGAATCAGATATTCAAAAAAGACTGGAAAGCCAGAACTAATAATATAGATTTTATTATGTAAACAGATTAGGAATAAGAAGGAAGCTGTCATTATTAAATCATAATATTACCATTAAATTAAAATACTACTAATCACTATTAGAATATAAAGTTACTACTATATTATATAGAAAATAGATAAAACAATGCTATAAACACAAAGGAGTTATCTTTATATAGGTTATAAAGTCATTATTAGAGTATGAATAATAGGTTATGAAGTTGTCACCAGATCATGAAATTAGATTATAATATCATTGTTATATTATGAAGTTATTATATTATGAAGTTACCAATAAACTATGAAGTTACTGATAGACTATAAAATTACTATTATATTATAAAGTTACTATTATATTATGAAGTCACTGGTAGACTACTAAATTACTATTATATTATAAAACTATCAGTAAACTATGAAATTGCCTTTATAACATGTTTTTATTATAAAAAGAAAAAAAAAATCAGAAAAATCGACTAAAATTCAATTTAATTTTCATCTAATTTGATGGTTGGAGGCATGTTTCTATTATAAAAAGCAAAAAAATCATAAAAATTACAAAAATTTAACTTAAGTTTCATCTGATTTGATAGTTAAAGCATGTTTCTATTATAAAAAGCAAAAAATATCAGAAAAATTGACTAAAATTCAACTTAAGATCTTTTTGTTCTTGAGACAATTATTTTAGGATTTTAGTGAAATGTAAAAAGAGAAAATTTGGAAATGATTAAAATTATTTTTTAAAAAGTTAAAAAATTAAGCTTATTTATATAAATATTTCTATATATTAGAAATAAACTCAAATAGTATATTAAATTAATATTATTTTAGCAAATTGATTTAATCTGAAAGTTCAGTTTATTGGAATAATAATACTATCATTTTTAAGAAATAATAAAATCATCATCCTTAAGGAATAATAATACCATCATATCTTAGGAACAATAAAACTATTATTCTTAAGAAACAATAATATCTATTATACTTAAGAAATAATACAATCATTCCAATCTAATGTCAATCAGTTATAAATAAGATAGGTTAAATTTTGATATATACCAATCAGCTATAAATAAGATAGGTCGAATTTTGGCTGATTCTTGGCTGATTTCTGATATATGCTATCAGCTAGGCTGATTTTTGATAATTTGCTAAATTTAGGCCAATTTTAGACTGATTTTAGACCAATTTTTATATGTCTGATTTATTTAATTTCAACTAGTAAAGGAAAAGAAGGAAGAAAGAAAAGGGAAAAATAAAATAATTTAAATTAAAAAATAAAATAAAAATAAAAATAAAAAGATCAAGAAAAGAGAAAAATAAAATGAATTAAATTAAAAAAAGAATAAAAACAAAAATAAAAAAATCAGGGAGGAGGAAAGGAAAGAAAAAAACAAAACAAATTAAATTAAAAAAATAAAAACAAAAATAAAAACAAAAAAATAAAAAAATTTAAAAAATAAAATTAAAAAAATTAAAAAACAAAAAGGAGGAAGAAAAGGAAAAATAAAATAAATTAAATTAAAAAAAATGAAAATGAAAATGAAAAAAATAATAAAAAAAAAATTAAAAAATAAAATTAAAAAAAATAAAAACAAAAAATAAAAAAATTGGAAAGGGAGAAAGAAAAAAAAATTAAGAATTGAAAAAAAAAGTAATTAAAATTTAAAAAGATAAAATTAAAAATCAAAAAGATAAAATTAAAAATCAAAATAAAAAATAATAAAAAAAGATCAGAGAGAAAGGGAAAAGAAAAAAAATAAAAATTAAGAATTAATTTTAAATCAACTCGAATCAACTCAAGTTTAAATCAAGTCAAGTTAAATATTTAACTTAATTTAAATTTGGTATGATTTACAAATCATCGAGTCAAAAAAATATAAACTCAACTTGATTTAAACTTGACTTAACTTATCTGACTCATAAGTTAATTTGACTCGTCTAAAACTTTATATAAGATAGTCTGAATTATTATATTTATCATATTTTGACACTATAAAATATATTATAATTGATCTAATACATTGCTTATTTTTAGGTATTATATAATAGATAGTAAAATAAATTTAAATTAATAAAGAAATTTTATCATCAAATTTTCTAAATAACATTTAAAAAAAATGAATAAGTTTTAAATTCTATTTAATTTCAGATAAAATTTATAAAGGAGAAAATTTTTCTAATTTTATAATTAATTAGTAATAAATATTTTTTACTATATATTACTTATTACTGTTTCATTTTAAAAATATCTTATAATTATAAATAAAAAGATTTTTATATATTTTATAAGGATTCATATAATTTTAATAAGCCAAATTGTAGAATCAGATCTATATATAAAGTACATTAAAGATTAATTGAGATGGTGAAATTAATTAAGAATAATTATAAGCATAACAAAATCATTAAATATTTATTTTTTTCTTTATTTATATGATTACTTAATAGATTATAGTCTATTATATATATTTTAATATTTTTCTTTTGAACATATAAATGAAATATTAGGTATTTTTTTTTAAAAATTTCTTAAATAAATTGACTTATTAATTATAAATATTTTTTAGATTTTTTACAAAATAGTAATAGAAAAATTAAAATTTAAACTAATGCATTAATTGATATTTGATATTCAAATTAATAATATTATAAGTTCTGATAGTATTAAGGTAAAAGTACTTAAATTACTAGACAATTAGCGTCTTTTAATTTTATTTCAGATATAAATAAATTTCTTTTAATAAAATCTACTAATTTTGAATAAAATCACAAAATATTAAGAAATCAAATATTACTGATATTGAAATATTTTTTGATAAATTCCTTAAACCATTATCTAATAATATAATTATTTTAAGTAAAATATTTAATTTGATGATTAAATATTATAAGGTAATTATAATATATTAGAATTTAAGAAGCCATTTAATAATCCAAAAGATGGTATAATAATTCAGATCAAAATAAATCAATTTAGAAGGTATTAAATTAGTTTTAAAATTTTTAGTTTATCAATGTCTTTGTAATATGTAAAAAATTTGTATATTTTGATCAAATTTATTATAAATGATAAAACTATTAATTGTTACCTAGGTCAAGTCTAATCTTATTCTACTTATAAAATCAATTTGCTATCTAGACTAACTGAATATTTTAATATATATTCACTAGTATAAATTTACAAGTTTTTTAAATATTTAATATTATTTTAATAAAGAAAAAATATGTAATATTAAAGTATAAGAATCTGATTTTATTTAGAAAGTCATAATTGTATAATACCAGTTTATCATATTTTGAATTAATTTATATTAATAAACTATTAAATTTCAGTCTAGTAAAATGCAAAAAAATATTTAGCTATTAATTCAATTAATAGAAAATACCATTTGTAAAAATAAATATTTTTAGTCTAAATTTATGATTTAAAATATAAAATATCAGTTATATTTCTTTATATTTTAAATTTTTAATGTATATCAATTGAATATAAATTGGATATCAATTAGCTATAAATAAAAAAATCAAATTTTAGATGAATTCTTAATGTATGTTAATTGACTATACAGATTTTAATGATTTGCTGATTTTAGATCGATTTTAGACTAATTTTTTACAATTAAATTTATTTGATTTTGATTTATATGATATATTAAAAATTAGTATTTTTGTTAAATTAATAATATGATTGCAGGTAAATTTTATATTGATTTTTAGTAGATAATTCAATAATTCTATTTATTAATTTTCTAATTAAAAGTTAATAGTTGTAATATAATTAGTATATTAAGTTTAGGATAATTATAAATATTTTATCTTATAATCAATTTATTTTATTATTATAAATATAATAATATTTCTTTTAAAAAACACTTGCTTTTTCTTAATTTCATAATTTTTAGTTTATTATTTATAATTTTTAAATAAAATTTAAATATAACAAACTATTTAAATATTTTTTTTTATTATTATTAATATTTATAAATACATTTAATTTAAATTGTATTATTAAAAGTTCTTTACTATTTAATTAAAAGATAATTCATAAAAATTTTAATAAAATATGTATAAATTAAAAAAATATCAGTTTTAATATTTTAAGTAGAAAATTTTTAAAAAAAATTTAAAAATCAATTTTCATTTATTAATAATAATAATAATTTTTTTTGATTTTATATAAATTTTATAAATTTTTTATTAAAAAATAAAAAAAAAAATAATATTTTTGAGATTGTCTAACAGGTAAATTTGTCTGTAAACTTAAAAAAAAGTGGTAATTTCAAAATAAAATAAATATTAAATATTATTTTAATAATATAATACTGTAAAATACTAACTAATCTATCCTTCTTATGTAAAATACCCTTAAGGTTTTAGACTAAAATTTGTAAAAATCTACATAGTATATATAAGCGATTTTTTTTTTAATGTAATTAATAAATTTTAATAAAAATATATATAAAACAAATTAAAAATAAATTATTTTATTTAAATTTCATTATTTAAAATAAATTAAAAATCTTTCAAATTATTGTATTCAATTTTATTATCATGATTGCTTTTATTACTTCATTATTACTATTTTTATTTGATTCATTTTCTTTGTCTTCATCTGTTATAAGATCATCATAATTAAAATCATATTATCTTCTATACTATCAGTTTTAACTGAAATACTATAACATTTAAATGATTTATAAATCAAATTTAAATTGATATTTTTTTATACAGTTTTTACCTATTATTACTGTAGAATTCTTCAACTTGAGATGGTCACGTTATCAAGTCTCTACTCAAAATTTCTAATTGCAATTTACTGCAGTTAAGACGTTAAGGTCTATCTAACTTTTAACTTTACTAAATTTACACGTTAGATTTAAACAAATCTATCAAGTATGAAGACTTGAAAAACAAGATTATGAACAATTTTAATTAAAGAATTCAGATGATGAACTCAATTACAAATAATGTGTAGGATCACGTCAGACTATATGAAGACACAAAGAGGTAAAAAGATATAAGTTTTAATTAATTCCTTTATTAATACTGAAACTCGTACTTACAAACTTGCAAAAGAGTTACTTCAATTTGCAAAAGAGTTTATTTACAACATAAGCAAAAAGTCTATCTATTTATACAAATTTTTTTATCATGGCTAATTAATTATTATGCTATAAACTAACTAATTTAGTAAATAAAATATAAGTAAAATAAATATATTAAAAATACGTAAAATAATAAAAATATAAGATAAAATAAAAATAATAATAAAATTTAGAATATTAAAAATACGTATAACACTAAATATTCTTAAATTTCTTTTAATTAGTAAAATTAGGATTATCATCCATATTTGGAAGATCTTTAGAATTACATAGATCTTTCGTATTTTCAGAATTCGCAGAATTTTCAATATTTTCAGAATTTTAGATTAAGAGATCATTATACTACGTCATTCACGTGACTTTATTATAACTAGTTAATTGCTTCGTTAATACTATAAAGATACTCTGCCTAGCTGAAGTTAATTATAAATCTTATTTATTATCCACTCATTATAAAGTTCACAAATCTATTAAAAAAAAATAATTTAATTTATATTATAATAAATATAATAAATGATAATAACTAATACTTATATTGAATTTAAAAAATTTATTAATTGCTATATTAAGAGATTATAATTTAAATATTAATTCTTTAGAAATTACTACTATATTTATATGAAACTCATCTAAATTTTATTTAATAAAATTAATTAAATGATTACAAAAATAATCTAAAATAAGAAGAGATCTTGAATTTATTAATTGTTTAAAAGAACTTTTAGACTAAATATTATTAATTTACTAAATCATTTTTTTTATTTACCTAAATTTTTTCATTAATTTTAATAAATATACTACCTGAAACCTTTTTTTTAAATTTATTTTTTCAATTTAAAAATAATAATAGAAGATAATTTTGATTTATCAACTATACAACTTAATATAATTATAAATGTAGTTCTTTCATATCCTGTAGTTTTAATACTAATTATATTAGAATTATATTTTTTTAAAGTATAAGAATTAGGTAAATAGAAGTTTTATCTATATTTGCAATAAATTGAAAAGGATAATCATATTATAAAAAACAAAGCTTAAAAACTCTATTATTTTTCAAGTAAATCCTTTAATAAGTATTAAATTACGATTATTTTTTATTTATTTGAAAGATTATGATAAATTATAAAATAATCTATCTACTTTTTGTAATTTAAATGAAAAAATTATAGAATATATTTTCTGAAAATTTTCAGTTTATAAAAGTTCTTTGGCTTTTTTCATTGATATATTTCTAGTAATTAGTAAACTTTATATATGATAATTAGTAATCTATTCTACTAAATCTTATTCTAATTTTAAAAAAAAATAATTGTCTATTACTATATAACTTTAATAAATAAGATACTAAAATTTTTAGCTGGTCCTTTTTTTTCCTCTAATCCTGAATTTGATTTGACTCTAAATCAAAATATCTTACTATTCTATAAATATTATTGAATGTTACAAATATTATAAACCATTAATTTTTCATATATATACCATTATCTTCTTTTTTTTAAAGTAACTCTAGAATATTTAAACTTTTAATTGCCTATAACAATCATTTTAAAAAATTGTAAAATATGATACAAGTAAAATGTAATATAAATATGTTAAATTTTATTATTATTACAATTTATATTGATCTACATATTATATATAATTACCTTTTTAAAAATCCCTTTTATTTAAATACCTTCCTAATTAAACTATCTAAATATTTTACAAATTTAAGGTAGATTTGTAAAAAATCTAGAGTAGATTAGTCAGTACTTTATAATAATTATATTTTTAATATATATTTTATTAATTTTATTAAAAGAAATTTAAGTTTATTAAGAAGTTTTTTAAATAATTCATTTCTTAATAAATTATAAAAATATAATAATTAAAATTATTATTTATAATAAATTTTATAATATTTTATTTTAATTAATATTACTAAAAATAAATATTAATAAGATTGTTAAAGATTAATAATAAAATTTTTAATATAAAATTTTTAGCTTTTTACAATCTAAAGGATAATAAAGATAAATAAAACTAAATTATTTTACTAAAATTTTAGTTTTTATTTTAAAATACATTTATAATTTTTTAATAATACAGTTAACTCTTTATAAATGCATCCCCTTGAAACCAGTTATAAGAGTGAATTTAGAAAGAATGTACATTTATAAAATAAGAAAATTATATAATTAATATTATATATTAACTAATATTTTATTAAAATTTAAAATTTTATAAAATAAAAATAATTATTCTTATAAATTAATTAGAAATTAAAAAAATTATTATTATTAAATTAAAATATAATCCAAATTATTGACCTATTATTACATTAAATTAATTTTTCTTTATTAATAAATTTTTCAAATTTTTCTTGTTAATTTTATTTATTCACTTGCAAGATTTTTTGTTTTTTTATTACTATCAATAAGGTTATTACTTCTTCTTATACTTTACTTTTACAAGAACTTTAACATTTTTTCATATTTTAATTTTACTTGCATTAGTTTCAAAATCTTTAAAATATGTATCTTTTAAATACCTTTTAACATGATCTTCCTAAAGAAAATAATTTATCATAATAACTGCCTAAAGATTCAGCCAAAAAGCTAAAGATAATAATATAGACAAATAGCATAAATATTTTATGATCAATTATTTTTTTTATAGTTAGATCCTTTTTTAAAGTAGATACGAAATTTGAAATTTGTGAAATAATACCTAATATTACTGAAAATAAACCTTTTGCCTTTTATGTATTTGTTCAAAATACTCATCTTCAATATTAAAATAAAGATATAAATATATTATCATTAATATGTTGTAAGAGTATTCTTCTTTCATCAACACAAAGCAGGATCTTAATGTTAGATTAAATATCAAAATTTTCTTTTAAATAGCCTGTATCAATACCAATATTTTCTAATTCTTGATTTTTAATAATTTCATAATGATTTGCAGCTTCTATTGCAGGTTTACAAATAGCTTTACTATTTACCTTTAAGATGTGTTTACAAAACTCACTTGGATTATTTTTAGTATCTATCAAAGAAATAACTTTTATTAAAAATTATTAAACTTTACTGGATCTTTAATAACTTTAAAACAATTGATGAATTTCTTTATATAAGTTGATAGGTGAAGAAAACAATTCAGATCTATACCTAAATTTAAGTATAAGGTATAAACCTTTCTTATATATTCTTTAATAAATCTCAATTTACTATAACCTAAGGATTATATAATAAAATATAAGGTATATATCTATCTTTATCTTTAGAACTTTTATCATAATGTAATATAATTATGAAAATTTCAAACATAATTTGAATCATCTTTAAATTCATAATTGAATGCAAGAAATACATATTCAAAATTAAGTACATCTTCATGAATGACCAATTTTGAAATTTTACTTGTGATTTCTGATAATAAATAATTATAGTTAAAAAATATTATTGTAAATAATCCAATTTTGATCATATATAATTCTTACCATTAATTATAATCTCTAATACATTTTTATTTATATTATTCAATTCAAAAATAGAAGTTTCTGAATTTAAATCTTTATTCTTCCTATGATAAAAAGTAATATTTTCTGATATATTAAACTAAAGTTTGATTAATATTTTCAGTTTCTTCATATTAAATATTCCTATATTATCTAATAATTATTGTCTGAAAAAGATAATTTCTATTTCAATATCTAAAACACTGAATTTTTCAGAAAAAAAAAAAAGTTTTATTTTAATACATATTTATACTAGCTTGTTATCTTAATATTTATATTACAAACTATTTTTCAGTTTCTTAGAAGAATTCATCTTTAGAAAAAGATACTTTCTACTAATATGAGCAAGAATAATAGAGTTTCTTATGATTAGTCATCAATTATCACTTTGATTTTTTAAAATTATTTTGTGATTGTTAATTTTGTTACAAGAATAAGTGATTATATACATTAATTTTATTATTACTAATTAGAGATTAGATAAATTTCTGCACATATATTATAATAATAAGTATTTATAAGGTATTATTGAAATTATTTTTATTTTAAAAAGAGTTATTCAAAGAAAAAAAATAATATCTTTTTTTATTATAACATATTTTAATATGAAGATTGATATCTTATATTATAACTAGAAAGAATAGTCAAAATTTTGACTTTAATCATGATAATAATAATGATAAAATAGTAACTAAAGTAAAAATAGTCATAATATAAGAGAAACTGTAAAGTATGTAATTATAGTAAAAATGGTAAAGGTAATAGTAGCTATCATTATAATAGATATAAATATGATTACTATCCCTTAAACTGTAAAGCAGGCAAATTTGCCTGCGAACATAAAAAAAAAGTATTAATTTTTTAATAAAAAATAAAATATTAATGTTAATAATATAATTATTATATAAAAAATATAGTTTAATATATATTTTATCAATTTTATTAGAAGAAATTTAAGTTTATTAAGAAGTTTTTTAAATAATTCAATATTTAAAATTAAGTTTTGAAAAATTTATTATAATAATTTTTTAAAAATTTTCTTAAAGTTCATATGTTTATAAACTAATTAAATCACTTTACTATTAATAAAAGTTATAAAATTTCTTAGTAAATTATAAAAACTAATTGTAATAATTAAAGTTATTCTTCATAATAAATTTTATAATATTTTATTATAATTAATATTACTAAAAGTAAATGTTAATAAGTTGTTCAAAGATCAATGATAAAATTTTTTAATTTATAATTATTTTAAAAATTACAAGTTTTTAGCTTATAAGTAATCTTAAATTTCTTATTATATAATTAAAAATATAATTTACTATATTATTATATATATTTATAAAATTAAATTAAAAAAAAAATTTTTTTAAAATTTTAATTTTTCATAAAAGTAAATCAGAAAGGAATTTATAATAAATAAGCAGGCAAATTTTCCTGTGAGCCTTTACAGTTTAAGAAATAATAATCTTTTTTTTAGAGGATTTTAAAAGTAATTTAATAAGATCATTAAATAATTTTAATGATAAAAATATAAACTTTGAATAGAATTCTTTATTAGATAATAATAATTAGATCAGTTAAAATAAATTCACTTAAATTTTATTTTACTTATTAAATTCAGTTTTATTTTTGTAGATATTTATAGATTCTAAAGAAGCATTATTAATAAGTTCTATCAGTAGGGCAATTTTGGGGGTTCTGGGGTCAAAATTACTAAAAAGGTATTCAGAAAGCTCCCAATCATATGCCCGAAGCTCTTCTAGTAATAAAAATCTATAATATAGAATTCAGATTTAAAAATCGCTCTGGCGTTCAATTTCGTTATAAGTCCTCCTTGTTATAAAATTTGAGCTTCGAAATCAAAAACTGATATAACCTTTCTAGCGCGATTTTAAACCCACCAAAGATATCAAAAAAAAATACCATTCTATTTGCCTTTGAGATGACGTGAGATTGGCAAGAACCAAAGGTTCAAAGTCAAACTCGTAGAGTCTCTGCAAACCTTCTATGTATATTAATATTTATGCTATACTGCTTGCCTTTGGGAGTAGACTCGATTATTGAGGAACGAAGTGACAAAATATTTGAGTCTACGACCTTGTCAAGCCAAAGATGTATACTAATTTTTGAGATATCTTAGAATTAATTCTAAAACTGATTCTTTGTCGTAATCAAAGGGTTAAATTTTGGTATCACGACCAAAGGGAGGGTACCAAAATTTTGTATGGGGTACCAAAATTTACGGGTAGGATACCAAAATGTTGAATGATAAGAAGTAAATCAAAAGGGTCATTGAACCTATTCTAGTATACAATTGATTTCTCGATATGTAGAAAATCATTCTAGAGCCAATTTTTCTAGAAAATACTAGGGTCAAAAAGTTATACGAAAAAAATAAGTCTCACCTCTGG